ATCGCGGAGTTATATTCGGAAAGAATAAACCAGTTTTATTAAGTAAAGACTTGTGTCGCTTAAGTTTCGTCGGAACGAAGTTACGGAAAATTAATTAACACACGGAGACGTAACAGTATGTAACAGCCCTTTCCGACGCAAAATATTCATACACTCAGTTCACAAAGGTGTTCTCAAGTCGGGTATTTAGAATTCCTAGGACGTGGGTATCCCTCGAACTTAATAGGATTGGAAAACAACTATTTAGCATTCGCTGTGAAGTTAGACCTATCGCTCAAAAAGTGTTAAATAAAATTATTTACGTAAAAGTAAAGTGTAGAAATGACAGGTTTTGTAGTCAAAGAAATAAAACATCTTTTCCCTCATTAAGTGGACTAGACATTAAATTATTCTCTTTACCAAATAATTCAAAAGAACTTACCTAACAGTGGAAACCGTTATAAAAATATTTTTGGAGATTTAAAACATTGACGACCCTATTTAACGTCAGCGCCAAAGATGGTCAACAGAGCCTTTGAGATTATGGGATGTTACTCTAATTACAGTGAACTTTTGACCCTCTTTTCATATCCATTGACTTTTGCTCTTCAAGACTCATGGCTATTTATTTTCACACTTGTAATCACAAATGAAAATGTATTACTACGTTTTACATGTACAATGGAGAGACAGATCATTCTACGTTACTGTTATTGTGCAAGATGCTACAATCATGGATCTGTTTATTCAACCTTACAATATTTTGTCGACAGGCTCACAAACTAAGTTTCTCCTAGATCGTTTTTAAGACCAAGTTTATTCTATTCTTTGGTAAATTCTTCAACACACCTTATCGTTTATATGATAAAATGTTTTGCAGAATTTCACAACCTTTTCAGAACTATCATGAATACACCATAACATTGATTATTATAGTGATTATTTATTCATATTTTTCGCTACCCACTGTTGTTAATTATGTAAATCTTATTTACTCAGTACAGCATGACCTTATTCATTAATATTGTTGTAGTAGTTGAAAAACTATTGTAGTTAACCTTTCATGCCCCCAACCAGCATGTCTGCGAACTTACAATGCTAGAATCAGGGTTTCGATACCCGTGGTGGGCATAGTACAGATAGACCATTGTGTTGCTTTGTGCTTAACTTCAAACAAATAAATACCCTTTCACAACTAGACAATAGTATATCTTAAAGTCAGATATATAAACATTTTCATGCAAGTATAATTGTTTTATAATTTTGCAAAAAGCTACATAAGTGCATAGCCATCGATAAGTCTAAATTTACAGACTTGAAAGAAGGCAGCAACTAAACAGGATCCACTGCCAAAAAGTGCAAAGTGCATTTTTACAGTAACGGATAATGAACTCGGATACACAGTCCAGGCACGCTAACCACAACTTGGTCCTATTTTGTGCAAGCATTCTGTACTTAGTTTATATTTTTATAAAAGGATGTGATTGTTCGTTTGTTCAGAATTTCGCGCAAAGATACATGAGGGCTATCTGCGCTAGCCGTCCCTAATTTAGTAGTGTAAGACTAGAGGGAAGGCAGCTAGTCATCATCACCCACCGCCAACTCTTTTACCAACGAATAGTGGGATTGACCATCATATTATAACACCCCCATGGTTGAACATATTGTTACGTCTCCGTTTGTTAAATGATTTTTTTTGTCACTTTGTTCCGACGAAATTTTAACGACACAAGTCTTTACTTAATAAAACTGGTTTATTCTTTCCGAATATAACTTTACCGAAACACTCAACTTCAACAATACGCGCTAAA